AAGATGGAGTCCTTTTGTAGAAAAGACGTTGACAAACTTGCAGGCAAAGATTGAGAGTTTGTCTTTCAACCAGCTATTGGTAGAGCAAGTGGCATCTTAGTTTTGTGGAAGTATAAAGGTGGTTGTTTTCAGGTTTTGTATCAATCTAGTCAATGTATTATGGGAAGGTTCACTAAGGCTAATGTTATTGATTGGGATGTTGCAATTGTATATGCTGATAAAGACAGATATAGCATGAAGCAAGTTTGGGAGGATATTTCAAGATATCATACTCTGGAATCTCCATTATTGGTGGGGGGTTAATTGTATTATGTCTCAGGAGGATAAGAAGGGGCCTTTCACTTCTCACCAGCTGCAAATGATATGGGAGAATTCATGTTGGCAAATGCTTTGATTGATCCGGGGTTTATTGATCCAACCTTTTCTTGGACTAATAATAAAGATGCGAGAAGTACAATCTTTTCAAGGTTCGATAGATTCCTTATTAGCTCCTCAATTATGGACTCTTTTCAGGGGTTGAAAGTTAAGCATTTTAATAAACTTGCTTCAGACCATTGCCCTATTCTGTGCATTGTCCAAGGAGAGGTGAAGACAGCTTACTCTCATTGGATCAAGTTTGAGAATGTTTGGGCTAGTTATCCAAATGCCAGGCAACTTGTTTGGGAGAATGGAGGGTGGAGGACATGGGCTCTGAAGCTTAAAGAAATGCCAAAGAACCTTGAAAGCCTTGTTCTTTTGGAGTAAGAACAAAATCAAACTTCTCAATCAGTTGAAGGAGGAGCTTGATAAGGAGATAAAGGCTTTGCAGGAGTTGGAATGCTTGTCAGATGGGTTAAATGAAGTTCAAACTTAATCCTTGAGATATAAGGTTCAGTTATTAAATAGTAATCTTGCTATAATTATGTCATGGTGGAAGCAAAGAGCTAAGGTTAAATGTATTGAGGAAGGGGATGGGAATACCCATTTTTTTCATTCCATGGCCTCGATTAGAAGGAGCTAATGGCATTAATTCTATGAGACTTCCAAATGGGACTGTTGTTTCTGAACACAGAGATTTTGCAGGCTATTCATGAGTTCTTTGAGCAGAAATGGCATGGACAAGGCATTATTGATGATGGGTGGCCTTCCCTTGAATCTCAAAGGAATTGCTTTACACAATATGCTGGAATTCTTGATTATGAGGTTACAAAAGAGGAAATATGGGCTGTTGTGAGCTCATTTGGCCGAAATATTGCACCTGGTAGAGATGGGATTACTACCTCTTTCTTCAGGCTCTTTTGGAACATAGTTGGGGAGCAAGTCATGAGGGCTTGTTTGGAATACTTTGCATGTGGGCATATGGATCCAAGTTGGAAGGAAACAGTGGTAGTGCTAATTCAAAAACTTATGAACCCGGATCACCCTTCCAAGTTAAGGCCAACTAGCCTTTGCCAAACAATCTATAAGATTGTTGCAAAGGTGCTTGTTAACAGGATCAAAGGGGTGTTGACTATGCTTATTTCTGAACAACAAGCAGCATTTGTACCGTGCCGTTCAATCTCAAATTACTGCTTACTTGGTCAGGAGTTGATAAACATATAAAGTTTCCAAGTAAGCTTTGGGTTTTTTGACTTTAAAAGTAGATATGGAGCAAGCTTATGACAAGATGAGTTGGAGGACTTTGGAGCTTGTTCTCAGATGTATGGGCTTCCCTACAAGGTTCTGTTCTTGGGTGCTTAACTGTGTCTAAAACCCAAAGTTCTCAATCCTTGTAAATGGACAGCTAACGGGTGGGATTACAGCAGATTGTGGGTTCAATCAAGAGTGCCAATTGTCACCCTATTTGTTCATTCTCTGTTCTGAGTTGTTGTGAGCCCATTTTCATCGAAACTTCAAGGAGCTGGCTATGCCAATCAGTGCAGGGGGACCTTCTGTCTCCCACCATCTTTATGTTAACGATATTTTGATTTATGCAGGTGCCTCTATTCCTAATATGAGGAAGAACACATCCATTTGGAGGACTATTGCTCATGGACTGGCCAAAGGATAAGCATGAGTAAATCTGCTATTCTTTTTAGCAAGATGACTTCTTCCTCTACTAGATCCCGGCTTGCAAAAATGACTGGTTGTAGGAAGGTGGATGAAATGGATTATCTTGGCATCAAATTTGTATTGTGAAGACTTGTAAAGAAGGATGAGATTGAGAAGTTATGTAGAAGTTTTCTTTGGGATTTTGATGCTAATCATAGAAGTATAAACTATATGGCTTGGAAAAGTGTTGCTAGACCAAGGAGGTTGGGTGGCCTTGGATTTCATGCAAGTGTTGATTGGGTTGGGCTTTTAAGAGCTAGAATTGCTTGGGAATACGTCAATAAACCGCAGGATTTATTCCAAAGATGTATGAACATGAAATATGGGAGTTGGCCATGGGATGCTGAGTTGAAGAGAGGTGATTCGGTGGTGTGGAAGCTGATTTGTGATGGTACAAGAAGCTTATATGGCTGTGTGAGATGGAGGGTTTGTAATGGCAGGAACATAGACATCTTGAACCACATTTGGATCTGGTATAGGCCTATAGCAAGATGACCGACGTTCTGCAATATTGAAGCATTAGAAGATCGGATGGTTGCAGATTTCATTTCGTTGTACAGTCAGTGGAATGTTCAAATGCTGTTGCTCTGTTTTGGAGTGAGCTTAGTTGACAGAATTTTAAAATTAAAATCTGGAAGGATTTGGATGAGGAATCTTTTGAGCTACTCAAAAATCCTCTAACTATTAATGTTTCTGCAATGGTTTATAGCAGCAGGTTTCAGGAGGATGAGGACCCATGCTATTCTTGTTTAAAACTTGGTTTGAGGCCTCAGGAGAACATTTTTTGGTGGAGAATATTCAAGGATATTATCCCCACTAATAGTTGGCTGCATAACCGCGGATTTGAGGTAAGCGTGGCTTGCCCCATTAGTTGTTTAGAGATTGAAGATAGGGATCATATTACTACAAGTTGTAAATAGATGTTGGAGGTTTTAAATGTGCTGGATGGCTGGGGTTATCCTACCCCACGATTTGCATGCTTTGATGAGCTACAAGTGGCCTTGGAGAATAATGTTAAGATTAAAGAAGGTCTTATGCTTCTATATTGTCTTGCGGTTTTTTATAGCTGGACGAACAGAAATTTGATTAAGCATGGCAAAGACAGCTGCTCCCCTGGGTTCATGGCAGCAAGCATTATTGAAGTTCTAAATCTCGGTTGTTATTCTTCCCACTTGGAGCAACGATGCACCTTTCAATCCTTTGGATTCTCTTCTCCATCTTCTTGGTTCCCCCAGGTTGGTTGAGGTGAACGTAAATGGGGCTCTTCTTAGATCTAATGCAGGTTAAAGGTTTGGGCCCTTTCTTTATTTTATGAGTTTGTAATTGTTTTTTTGAGGAATGCAAATGCAAAAGTTCAGCCCTTCTCTCTCTCTCTATCTCTGTCGGAAATGCTGGCAGCTATGATCGAAGAAGGCAGGAGATCGCTCACCTAGAAAGAATGCATGGCCAAGGGAAAGACACTAGATGCTGGTAGATTCGGATCGGATGGATCTCTGGAAAGCTGGTTGGAGGCGAAGCCTCGTAACTTGGATTTCAAAATGGTGCAGCAGCTGGCTAAGGGCTGAAATGGTTCATCTAAATCTGCTAGAGTCAAATTGGAGGACTCTCCTTCGAAGGAGAATATGGATCTGATTTTGGATTCGAAGGTGAATGTGGTACTTAATCTGACATTCCAGGAGCTGGATTCGTCGATGGAGATGGAGGTTAATGTCGTTACTTTGGATTCCAGAGCAAGGATGGAAGAGATGATTCATATGGAGCCTGCTACGGGTGGATTGGATGAGTCGATGGAGGTAAGGTCTACTCTGAATGATGTGAATAATGATGTAATGGACAATACTGATTTGGACGGTAATGGTATGATATCTGAGGTTGGATCGGCGACTGTAGATACATCTAGTGGAATTGGGGCAGAGTCTAGTTCCTCTAGATTAGACAATTCTCTAATTGGTACATCAAATGCTTGTGGAAATGTCGTTGTTGATCGTGCTGCTGAAAGCTTGGGGAGCCTTGAAAGGAAGACGGAGAGTAGAGGCCCGTTGTTCACTGCAGGTGTTGGAAATGCTTGGAGGAAGCTGGAACATATCATGATCCTTCATCCAGAGAAAATATGTGCTATATCGGCATACAAGATTTCTGTAGACCTTGATTTGGACTACGTGAAAGCTAATTTGACTATGCTTGATGGAGCAATAGTTGGGAAGATTTTAGGTAGACGATCTTTTTACTTCATGTTGAAGTCGGAGATCTAGAGGCAGTGGGGTAGATTTGGTGATTTTCAGCTTACTACTATGGGATCCGACTGTTTCGTTTGTATCTTTTCTTCGGTTGAAGCTAGGGATGATGTCCTATGTGGAGGGCCCTGGTTTATTGGCGGAAACATCGTGGGGTTGGACAGGTGGACGCCGAATTTTTCTCCGGCATCCATGGAGGGTCTCTCATCCCCTGTTTGATACGACTTCCTAACCTTCCATTTTTACTAAATTTAACTCCTGTTTCACCAAGACCTGGAAGCAGATGCCTGAGATTTAAAGACATCTGGATGACGTACCCGATTACCTGGAAGCTTGTTTGGAAGAACTGGACAAAGAATGCTTACAATCAACCTAATGAGGTGTTGAAACGGAAATGCTCTATAACACTTAAAGCTTTGTTTTTCTGGAGCCGAAACAAACTTAAAGAGCTTGGGGAACTGAAGCTTTCGCTAGAAGGTCGTATCGAGGAGCTCCAAATCCTTGAGAGCTCGGGTGATAGCTTGAATATGGAGCATGATGAGGAGCTACACCGGAAGGCTTCTGAGCTGAATTCTACGTTGGCTCGTTTGGCTACATGGTGGAGGCAGCGAGCGAAGATTAAATGGATTGAGGAAGGAGACGCTAATTCTTCATTTCTTTAAGACTAACTCTATGTGTGAAAGCTGGAAAGATACAATGGTGGTCCTTATTTCGAAGACAGATAATGCTAATATGCCTTCTAAGTTTAGGCCGGTCAGTTTATGCCAATCTTTTTATAAGATAGTGGCCAAGGTGTTGATTAACCGCCTCAAACTTGTGTTGAGCAGTATTATCAGTGAACAGCAGGGGGCTTTTGTTCTGAGAAGGTCAATTTCTAGCCATGGGATGCTGGCTCAGGAGATGATGTGCAAATTCAAATGCTCAACTCAAAAGTCTAGGTTGATGGCTTTGAAAGTTGATATGGAGTAAGCCTACGACTATATGGCATAGGAGACTTTAGAAAAAGTCATGAAGCTTATGGGATTTAAGGAGCAGTTCATTCTGTGGGTGATGCAGTGTGTCACTCGGCCTCGATTTACACTTCTTATTAATGGGAGTCGAACCCAGTGGATTAATGCCAAGAGCGATCTCCGACAAGGGTGCCCGCTGTGACCGTATATGTTTATTTTCTGTTCTGAACTATTATCCAAAGCTTTTCGGCATATGGAAGGATAATTTGGGATCCATATTGTCAAAGATACTGATAGAATATCGCATTTATTTTATGCTGATGATATTCTTATTTTTGCTGAAGCTAACCGTATTAATGATATTCGTATTATTGGTTTGCTAGATGACTATTGTGATTGGACGGGTCATAGGATTAATTGTGGTAAGTCTGCTATTCTCTTTAATAAGAAATGTCCTAATTCGAAGAAGAGAATGCTTGCCAAACTGATGGAATATAGAAAGGTGAACTCTCTTGAGTATCTTGGACTTCCATTGGTCATGAGGAAACTTGTTGCTGCATATTTTGCTAAGGTTATGAAGGCTGCTCAAGAGAAGATGAATGTGTGCGAAAAGAAACAGCTCTCGGTGGCGGGTAGAGCTTTAATGATTAATACGTCGTTATTATCAATCCCTATATATCTAATGACTCATACTGTCATTCCTAATGGGGTTCTAAACTCTATTGAGAGGTTGGTAGGACGATTTCTTTGGCAAAATGATCCAAACAGCAGAGGTATGCATTATGTGGGGTGGAAAGAACTGTGCAAACCGAAGAATCAAGGAGGTCTCAAGCTTCATGATCTTCTCGTCTGGAAGTGTGCTCTCCGCGCTCGGGTTGTATGGGACCTGCTCCAGCATCCTGATTCCTCCTTGTATAAATTTTTTTTTACTAATATTGGTATGAGGCTTTGGGATAATACTCAAGGGAAGAACATCTCTATTACCTGGAAGGTTAACCAGGATGGAGCGAGGGCCCTCCAGCCTATTCTGAGATGGAATATTGGTAATGGTATTCATATTGATGTGCTCCAGGAATGGATCTTGGACCGTAATATTGCCAAGTGGCCTACGTTTGTGAATGTGGATGAGGTGGAAAATACTAAGGTGTGTGATTTCCTGAATACCTCATTATAGTGGAATGAGGATATGATAAAGCGTTGTTTTGGGAACATTATGGCAGAGCGTATCTTGGCAATTGAAGTTTGTAATGATACCCACGTGGACAATCCTGAGCTCATTCATGCTAGAATGGATATGACGGTTACTGCTATGGCTTATAACCTTAAACTACATCCTCGGGAGAGGTTTTTCTGGTAGAGATTGGTTAAGGATGCTGTTCCAACTGCCCAATGGCTTTTTTGAAGGAGACAGGCTAACAACCCACTTTGCCCGTGCGGTTGTAATATGGAAGAAAATCTTGATCATTGTACTACTCAATGTGCAAAATTGAAGCATGTGATCATTATTTTGGTAAAATTGGGCTTTGTCTTGCCCAGTGTGAACTCCTTTCTGGAACTGATTGCTGAGCTCTCTATATGTGCCGACAAGAATCCCGTATTGGGTCGTATTTTTTGTTATACTGTGTATCAGGTGTGGAGAGCCATAAACGATATGAAGCATCGGCGTATGTGTAGAACTAGACTGTGATAGTTGCTGCGGTGCTTTCTTTATTACTGAAGCCGTTCAAAAGGCCAATACTGTAGTAATGGGGTACCAACCGGCCTATTGGGCTGCCTTCTCACAAATTGTGGTGCCCTCCCTCCCTCCCTCCCTCCCTCCCTCCCGCTCTCCCTCTCCCTCTCCCTCACTCTCTTTCTCTTCATGGTATTGTTTATTTCTTCTTCTTTTATATCATTTTCTATATATTCTTCCCCTTCCATATATTCCTCATCTTCATTCATGTCTTCTTCCACTTCCCCATCTAGTAGTGCTCGACGCCAATGGATCTCCGATTCTTGATTAGGCAAGGAGATTTCTTCGACCAGTGGGCCACGATCAAGGCTAGTCTCTTCCTTTGGAGGGGCCAGCGAACGACGAGATCCTCTAAAGGAATCTCCAATGCATTGACTGTCGGGAGGGGAGTCATTGTGGGTCCTCTTTGGGACTCATTTCTAATATTGTTTGTTGTTGGGGGTGGATCTCCGGAAAGCGTCACCGGATGTCACGCCCAGATCAACTCTCCTTTCTTTTTCTTTCTTTCTCATTTCTTCAAGGCTTTAGCCTTTACACTTGTTTTCCTTTCCAATAGGACCTTTCGGCGGCAAATCACTGAACCTATGATTAAGGTATCACACCCCGATGTTTATCTCGTGGAATCTTCTTTCTCTTCTCTTCTCTCTGTCGTGTGCTCCCTGGCCTCGATCACCAAAGGCCGTTGGAACATCTTCTTCAGTCCTTTCTCTTTCACGGCCATCAGGAACCTGTAAACGCAAGTTGATAGTGTTTCAAGCTCCTTCGTTAGAGGCGTTGGGGCTTTAGACTGTTAATCCCAAAAATATTTTTTAGCTCCCAAAAGCATATTTGATGAGTGGATTGAAAATTGTTGTTGAGCCTGAAGTTTAGCATTTTTCTTTCTTCTCTTCCTTTTGGTAAGCATTCCTCCAAATGAGGAGGCCTCAACATTATTCCTACCAGGTGCAGCAATCTTCTTAGGTAGGGTGGTGGTATTTGCAACCACAACAAAGATTCTTCCATCAGCCACAATCCTCTTGGTGGATGGGGCCTTTGATTGAGAAAATTGTTCAAATACAAAGACACTCATTCCAGGCTCTTCAGCAGTAGGTCGCGACACTACAAGATGTGCACGACACGTGGCAGCTTCGGTAGAGTGAGGCCTCTTAATGGGCCTTTCAGTATTAATGTTATTTGCAGGAACGGTGATAGTCCTCGCAACAACAGTAGGGAAGTCGAGACTACCAAACTGGATGTTAGCCCTAGCGTTCCCAATATTAATGATTGCATTTGCTAGTTGATGTTTGCTCCATGTCCCAATGGGACAATAACTTATGTGTTCTGTAGGTCCATTTGCACACATGAAAGGTAAGGATTAGTAATCAGTGTCTGATATATCACTCCACACTTTTAAATACAGAGACTTGCACAAAACATAAAATAAAAACATATAAACATTAGCAAACAATGAAGATAAATTCAAAACTTTGCTAAATACATTATCTCAACAAATGTATGATGAATGTATATAATGCTCATTTTTAGAATACTTAACATTTAAATTTATTAAACGAGGTAAAGGAACTGTAAGCAAATCACTAGTGTTGTCCTTTATGACCACACACTGTTTGGGATCCTCTTATGTCATAGTGGATAACAAAGATATCATTCTCATCCATGAGATCATCCGCATCAGGGTGGAAATTCTCAATCAATTTTCTATAGTTTTCTTCCTCTTCTCTCCTCTCGTCCTCATCAATTTTCTTGAGGCTATCTTTCAAGTATTCAATCATTTCTTCAACAATTTTACCAGTAGAGGGAATTAGAGGAGAAGGATAGTATTCTTCATAGTTGTTAATTTTCATAGGTGCTTTTCATTTATCATTGGAATCAACATGGGTAGGAGGAGAAAAGTGTACCACAAATGGAGCTATCACCTTGAGTCTCCATTCTTTCTTCACCCTATATGACGAGGTATGGGATTTTTGGCGTCCCACATTTACCTCATCTTCTTTATGAAACCTTTTAAACTTAGCAGGTACATTAGATCTATTAGAAACTGACAAAGAAGTCTGAGGGACCACTTGGCGATCAAGGTAATCAGCCTTTGGTCTGTCATAGATCTTAAGTGATATTGTTGAACTATCAACTAGAATTATTTGCTCACTGACTACTCTTTTCTGGCGAGGTTTAAAATCATAACCATCCACCAATGCTGACACAGCTGGCTGTTGGACAAACCATTGACTGTCTTTCTGCGATGGCTGAACAATCAATTTGTTGTCCTTAGGATTTTGTTCTCCCTTAAGATTGTATCAACACGTTTGCAAATCACATTCTTTATAGCTTTACTTGCCTTCTCTTTTGTTGAGCAGGTTCTACCAACTACACTTCAGAAAACATTTATGATGTTATTCTCCACTGCTTTGCCCTTTCCTCGGGTGTGCTGTTAGGAACTTTAGTTAAAGATTTTGGAGGCGATGCAGGTTCTTTCTCAACATCCCCTTCGCTCCTAAACATAGAAAGAGGGTAAATTTTACTACCCTTAACAAGAGGAGAGAATTTCATCATCTCAGCCTCTAACTCAGCTTGCTCCGCATTTTTCAGCGTCTTTCTAAGACTTTTGTTTCTATTTCTTTTTTGAGACTTAGTCATAACATAGGTGGAACTAGTCACTTCTTCATATTGACTTGATTGAAATAGTTTCTCAAACTCTGAGTGGCTTGGGACGACTGCTAAAGAATGAACTGTCTCATATTGTCTCTCAATTGCCATTTGCTCTGGCATAAAGGTTATTTGTCTTTCATTAAAATTTTGAACCTTATGGAATGTCAGCCTGTCAAATGCATAAAGTTAAGAGGCTAAGGCTTTTGGGGAGACCTCAGCACCCTCTTCCTATTATAAGCTGACTTTTAGGCATAGTTTAAAATTGTGCAATAAGAGGTGCGCATCAACGCACTTTCGTCCTAAATAGCCTCATTGCCTAAGCAATTTTGGGGCTTGATGAGGCTTACGCCTAAGGGAGATTGAGGCGCGCCTCAATGGTGCTATTGAATTAGGGATGAGGCATATGCCTCATGAGAGGGGTCCCACTCACTTAAGTTTATAATAAAAAACCCCCATTTTTTCTTCCTTCTACCAGCTTACCCGAACCAAACAAAGCCCTCCCGCAAGAAATTCATAGACGACGGATCTCCCGCACAATCCCAGCCTTTCCGACGCCTCTCCCGTCGGCGCCGCCTCACGTCAGTGAGGCTCGTGTCTGGCCGCCCTCTACGACACTTCTTCAACCGGTCTTAGGGTTTTTTTTTCAGTTAAAGGTATGATTTTTTAACTTATAGAAAATCAAAGGTTTTAAATTTTTGAGATTTTTTGTTTTAAATTGCATTTGTGCTTAAGGAAACATGGTTAAGGCAAGGAAAAGTGTAATACATCATTGCGGAGGGATCGTTCTTGGAAGTACAGTGTACAAGTTGACGTTGCCGGCAGTGAGAAGACTTATGTGTATTTAAAATGCAATTTTTGTGATAAAGTAGTGAAGGGCGAAATTACCCGCACGAAGAAACACTTATCCGGCTCTCATAAAAACATAGCGCTATGAGCAAATGTCCTGGATAAGGTGAATGATGAAATTGCTTCTTACATGAAGAAGAGTACCACGATAAAACATTTACAACATGAGCAATTTAATGAAAGGGTCGAACAAGGTGCTTACTATGGGAGTGATAGTGGAAATGGCTCTTCCTCCACTATACATAATAGAGGTATCCGGGGTCCTATCAACTAGTATATGATTAATCCATGAGAGAATAGAGGACAAGCATAGATGATGGCTGCGGAGTTTGTTAGAAAGGTTGTGTTAACTCTCTTCACTAAGCTTAGTAATTTAGAGAGTTTTGTGATTGAACTATTCTCATAGTAACTAGTCTCATTGTTAACTTAGAGATTTATCATTGAAAACCTATCCATTTATGATATGTTCGAATAATTGATTATTTTGTGATCTTAACTTCTAGTTGTGTGACTTGCCCTAAGTTAGTTTCACCCGTTGTTTTATTTCATTGTTTAAATTACTACAAGTCTTTAGTTAATTCTACTTTCTAAATTAAAGTGTGCAAAATTCTTAATTAACATCGCCTAGGCATTTAAGTCCTGTATCAATAAAAAATATTGAGATACCCCAAAACTAAATTTAGTTAACAAACTTCAAATTATATTCAATATTTATAGCAAAAACAATTGATTGTATAATTAGAACATGCCTGCTCTTTTTTCGTATTTGGATCTGGAATTACATATAACTAGGCTATATATAAAAAAGATGCTAGTATTGGAACATTGCCAACTATTAAATAAAGTGTAAGCATAACAATGATAAATGAAAGCTTGAAACAAGAAGTCATGCAAACCTGTGTGTATTCAACTTTAGTAAATATTTCCATTTTTTGCTCAAATAATTTTGCAAGATGGCTCTCCAAAAACTAACTTTTTGCACGCTGAGTATTTGATCGGCTAAATTTATCCTCAGGCAAAGCATTACTACGAGAAGAATTAGTGCTTCCATTACTGTCAAAACGGCGATGTCTTCTGGTAAGGCCACGTTGTAGGACCTGTCGCACCTCAGCAACAACACCATCCAACTGTAA